TAAGCGTATTAGAATGAAGACATAGTATTTGAATACATAGTATTTGACGAGTGTACGTAAGCGTATTAGAATGAAGACACAGTTTTAAGACGAGCTCACCCCCAGGCAGTCCACGAACTGCATGAAATTGACGCCGCTCTTGATGTCCCACTCGGCCCTGTAGGGGTTCTCGGCCCAGCCCACAACCACCGCCCAGGGGTCCGCTGTGCAGTGCGCAGTGCGCAGTGCGCAGTGTGCGGTATGATGTATGCAGTGTGTCGGGATGTCGGGAGCAGAAAAATAGGTGAAAAATGTGAGAAGTTGTATCCGTGCTCAAGCAGACATATATATACATACATATATATATACATATACATATATATATATACATATATACAACCTTCCGCGTTCTGCGCCAGGTCTGCGTATATCTTGAGGAACCTGCTGAGCACCAGCGCGGGCGTGCAGGACTTGGCGGACTCCACGAACACCACCGCGGCCTCAAGCATGCCGACCGGCGCCCTGTGCGCCCTCGCCTCTGTCGCCTCTGTAGAACTCCCGGTTTCTTTGCCCCTCAGCACCTCGTGGCGGAAGCTGGCGCCCATCTTGGTGCACGCGGGGGGCGGCAGCGCCACGCCGAACTCGATCAGGAACTGCACGAATCCCCCCCAGCCGAGGTAGGGCCCGTGCAGGATGAAGTGCCGGAAGCTCAGCACGGTGCCGTCGAACTCGACCGTGTTTCCGCCCGCGAGCTGGCCGGGCAGCGCGGCGCCCCGCACGTAGGTGCGGAAGATCTTGTCTAGCGCCTTGAGAATCAGAGGGGCCGAGGGCGCCACGTCGAGCTGCACAGGCACGGGGAGGCTCACCACCCGCCGAATGCTTTTCAAGCAGCTAACCACCTCCCGCCGCACCCCTCCCGGCGCCCCCGGGGCGTCTTTATTGTACACGTCTAATGCAGATTCGACCACGAACTTCTTCAACACGGCGGTCTGGAGCTGCCCCTGGGGCCGCAGCACCTTGGCCAGAGAGCTCGCGTGGGAGGTGCTGCTCTCCGGCTCGACATATTCCCCCCAGTTAACAGCCGCGCTTTGATCATCCAAACCCTCAGCTGTTTGATTTGGCTGGGCGATGTAGGACATCATGTCGTCTCGGAGCCGCTGCAGCAGCTCCACCGACTCCGCGCAGATGGCGTTCGTGTGCAGGCTGGCGCGGTGGAAGGTCGTGTCTGCTATACTCTTGGCCTTCTTGCGCTTGTTCGTTATGTAGATCAGACTGCTACACCATGAATAGATGCAGAGAAGCCGCAGGGCTGTGGGGTGATAAGCAGTATTAAGTGGGAGCGAATGGTGGGAAGCTGCGATGCACTTACGGTCGACTATTTCGAGGCAATTCGATGCCACCGATACTCCCGACTCGAACGCCTCCAAGCAACGGTCGGCGACCTTTAACCCATACGATGTCACTGCGGGAGCGTCTTTTAGGTTGTGCAGTTTCAGGTACGCGTCGCCCAGCAGGAAGAAGTAGAGGCAGACGCCCCTGCTGGGCAGGAGACCCTTGATCTCATCCAGAGGGGCCTGGTGGTGACCCGTGGTGGAGAGCCGCTGCTCTAGCAGGTGAATCGTTTGAAGAGTGTTTTGAATTTCTCTCTCCATTGACAGGAGCAGTGCTAGGAAAGTTGCGCTACAAGGGAGGGAGGACGGCTCAGAACGTCCAGACTTTCTTCAGTGGCGAATGGCGAGCGACTCGGTCTGCGTCTCTCTGGCTGCTCCGCGCGAAGGTGAAGATGTACAAGAAGGGGAATACTAAGAAGGTGTGCAGGAGCACGGCCATCACTCGAGCGTCGACTCCTCCCCTCTTTGCAACCATCTTCTCTCCTGTGCAGCTGTGTTCTCTTCTCTCTGTTTGCCTGCAACGGTCCTGCAAAAGCACTTCTCCGGGCAACAAGCCTTGTTTATATTAGCCTATTCTCGGTACAAATTTCTTAACACACCTGTGCGGGTGTGGCGCAATGGATAGCGCGTCAGCCTTCGGAGCTGAAGGTTGTGGGTTCGAGTCCCATCATTCGTACTTTTTGCACTTCATTGCTTTTTGCCAACGGCTCTGAGGGGGAGGACCCTTCCACAGTTCCACAGTTCCAACAACACTCGGAGCTGCTGGAAACACGCGACATGCGACGCTCGGCGCACTGAAGCTCTGCGAAAGGTCACGCTCGCTGTTGCTGGTGCTGCTCCTGTGCGCTCTGCTCGCCCGGTCAGTCAACACAAAGGACCACTCAACAACTTGCCCCACCTCCCTAACACTCTCGGGATGAGCTTATCAAAAGATTTAGCCTACTTCAACCTGAACAGGTTAGATGAGAGACTGGGCTATGAGATGAGCCGATCTAAGACCTCCGGCGATGCAATGGAGATTCGCATCGTCGTTAAGCCTTTCGTCGATCTCACAATTGCAGATGAGGTGGAGGTGGTTCTGCGAGTGCCGCTCGAGTACCACGTCACTGGAGGGATCAACGTCTCGGTCCCGAACCCCGAAGTGGTTCGGTTCATACAGCAGATGGAGAAGCACTCTGCAGACCGCATCTGCATCGACGACGCGGGCAACTGGGTGCTGCCCGGTATGGAGAGGGCGAAGTACCTGCTGCCGGTCTGGTTCCACGCCATCCGCCACTTCTTCCGGCGCAGCGGCCCAGAGTGGGGCACAGCTGTGCTGCTCGACGCGCGCTTCAAGCAGGTCGAGCGGGCGTGGCCCTGTGTGTGCGCGCCGGAGGGGGGGCCCGACGTGTCGCTCTTCTGCGGGTCGGGCCGCACCCGGGGCAAGCGTAACTACATGGAGGACGTGGACTTCGCCGCTGAGGATATCCCCATAGGCACAGGCGGGGTAGGCGGTGTAGGCGGTGTAGGTGTAGGCGGTGTAGGTGTAGGCGGTGTAGGTGTAGGCGGTGTAGGTGTAGGCGGTGTAGGTGTAGGCGGGCAGTCCATCGCGGTATTCGGGGTGCTGGACGGGCACGGGGGCGAGCGGTGCGCCCAGCAGTGCGCGGAAGACATCCCCCTGCGCGTGGCGGCGCACATGCGCGCAGGGGTGTCCTGCCCCATTGCGCTGCACCGGTCCTTCCTGGAGGCAGACAGCCACTTCCTGAGCTCTCCCGCAGGCTGCAGCTCTGGCAGCACCGCGAATGTGGCGGTCTACCACCGGCAGCGGAACGTTTTCTACATCGCGAACACGGGGGACACGCGCGCCGTGCTGTGCCGCGGCGGCGCCGCGCTGGACCTCTCCCACGACCGAAAGGGCTCGGACGCCGAGGAGATCGCGCGCGTCGTGCGGGCCGGCGGCTACGTGGCCAACGGGCGCGTGCAGGGCTCGCTCGCGGTGAGCCGCGCGCTGGGGGACTTTCAGCTGAAGGAGCAGGGCAACAAGAGCCTGCGGGGGGTGCTGCTGCCCGACCCCGAGCTGTCCTGCTTCTTCCCCACCACAGAGGACCAGTTCATGATAATCGCCACGGACGGGCTGTGGGACGTGCTGGCCAGCCAGGCGGCCGTGGACCACGTGCGCAACCTGCTGCGCCAGGTACGTGTAGAGTGTTGAATGACCTTCAAAGGGCCGTATGTCTTTATATCTGTCTTTTTATCATAAATGCCTGGTGCCAAAGGTCTGGACCTTCTAACCCTTGTTTTCATATACGCGGACCGCTACGGCTCTTTTTGCTAACGTGTTTTTCCTTTTATGGTTCATCCGGTTTATCTTATCCGGTCTACGGACGCCTCTCAGGAGGGCCTGGACGGCGACCTCACCGGGCTGGGCGCCGACATCGTGAGCGTGCGGCTGTCCCAGGTGTGTATTGAAACCACCTCCTATACTGTAATGTGCATTAAACCCACTCTATATATACTATAATGTGTATTTAACCCACTCTACATATACTATAATGTGTATTTAACCCACTCTATATATACTATAATGTGTATTTAACCCACTCCATGTATACTATAATGTGTATTAAACCCACTCCATGTATAATATAA